AATTGCTTCCGAAGTGTATAAATTGCTTATGTCGAAATTGAAATCGAATCTGTTAAGTACTCCTAAACATGTGCGCAAAATCACATTACCTTTTTCAAGGGAGAAAAAAAAAACAAAAATCCGACCACAAGTTATCGATTGACGAGAGTTTATCTTTAACTCGTCATTAACTATGTACAAAAGGGAGAAGAAATTAATCTTATCATGAAGACTTGCGACTGTTTGTTATGATCCATGTTTAAATAGTATTGTTCGAATTCAATTTTTTTCGGCCTTGTCTGTGCAGCTGTACGTTTTCTCGACTATGTATATTCGCCATCTTTGAGTTTCCATCGAAAATGATTTGTCCGCAGGAAACTTCTCGCAAAATGATGAACTGGAACAGTTCTCGTTCGTCATTAATCTCCTTCAAGGATATTCATTTAGTCGATGGAAATGTCACGTTATGAAACGTGATTACATAAAGATTAGAAAATATTTCCTTGACCTTCAAATTCAAAATTGCAAAACACGCGCTCCTTAGAAACCAATCGCTCGGATCAATTTAACACACAAATCTTGTTATTTGACGTAAATTACAGCGATGTTTACCATTCGACGATCAATATTTAATTTCATTTACTCAATTTCAACAAATAACAGAGAAAATTGCTCAAACAATGTCTGACCCACAACGAGAGAGAGAGAGAGAGTAAAAACACCAAAAATCATTGGCTAGAAGATGTTCATTTTTCTACCAAATTCAGCTTTCTCGTTTACAATAATTAGAAGATATTTTGCTTTTTAATGATCTTTTGTCATTTAAGAAATATATAAAAATAGATCTAATATCTGTTGAGAGTGCTTCTAGCATAACGTGTTCGGCTAGAAAATTAGTTCTTTCCTCCATAATAACGAGTATCTTCTAAGTAAGTATGTGCAATCTTATCGTGCTACAAAGTCAGGAACATATTGTCCTATTTGCAATCAATCGTGCATATTCAAATTACGCTTAGTGTGCACGTTGACTTAGCAGAAGCAAAGAACAAGAGAAGAATTTATAACAAATGTTCGATTTAGTTTTATATTTCAACAACTGTTCTTTGCAAATTTTATAAATTTGCAGACTCAGACAATGAACAATGTGGTGTACCGAACGATGTCGACTTCGCCGATATAGGATAGTTGTTTGCATGATTCAGTACACCTGAGGATTTGATGCTATTGCTGAAAGTTTCTCTCGTTCTCGAGTAATCCGTTTGATCGATTGATTTTCGTATGAGACCTTGATTTAGCCGCGGATAACAAAAAGAGAAGATGCGCTTTAAACCGTCTTTGAATGTTTCGTTAAAGTAACTGTAAAGAAATGGATTGGAAATGGCCGATATCATACAGATGAGAAAACGCAATGGAAGGTATTTTGACAATTGATCACGTGTCGATTGAATTGTATCTGAAAAGAACAATGATGTCTTCATCAAATTTGTTATTTAGTCTATAGAAAATCTTACCTGATAGTTCATATCGTTCGCCGTAGGTAAATAATATGTATGAAATATTGAATGGCAACCAACTGATCGCATATAGAGTGACAATTAATAGTAGAAGAACATTATTCCGACGTTGCCGACGAACTTCATGTTGTAAGGAGCCAATATTGTGTCGTTTCATTAAAAACCGATAGCGAAAGCCTATAGACAAAAATGAACTTGGAAAACTTCTCTGATTATATAATGTCAACACAATCACAGAGTATATGTCTACGAACTTCTCGTTTCAAAAACATCCTGATTGAGAATCGGAAAATAACATCGGGAAATGTCAAATACTTTTTACCAATAGATTAAACGTTGATCCTTTTATGGAGCTCGCAGTGCTTTATGTTCCTATGCAGATTTTATCAAAAAGGCTTGATTTCCTGGGCCGCCACTGTTGACAGACACACAGACTGATCTGACCTGCTGTGAACCTCTATTAGGCAAAAAAGAAAAACGACTGTTATTCAATGGCTGAAGTTGAGTCAGTCCCGTCTGTTCGTGGAACTTACGTTCTCTGAGTTTCAGCATTACTTGATAATAGGTGAGGCAAATAATCAAAATCGGCAAGATAAATTGAAGAAAAAGCATAAATATCGTATAGAGAGCATGCAGATTGCCGTGCTGTGGCCATGATTCATGGCAGATATGTAAACGGCGATACATCTTCGTATATTTTGCTACACAAGAAGTATTTAATGGTTGAGTGCACATAAGTTCTACCATCGAATTGATAATATCGTCATCGTAAGCTGGTATTGATCGTGAATAAATAAACAGTGGACTAGCTGCCCCAATCGCTAGGACCCAGATCGATATCATAATGATAATCGTCGAACATGGACCAATAATTTTCTTATACGGATAACAAACAACGAGATATCGATAGATTGATATCGTCACGATCGTTAATGAAGAAACATAGATATTAATAGCGGGAAAACTATCTGCTAGTTTGCAAAATGCTCGAGGAAATGTCATATAAATGTTCAAACTGCGATATGTGTTCAAGGGCATTGTGAATAAACATAAGACGAAATCACTTAAAGCTAAATTTACAATAAAACAATTATGTGACGTTTGCGGAATATTCGGTTTCGTGAAAAATAATATAATCACAATGACAAACAGATTTCCAATCGTTCCGATAAGACTTTCGATGATTGATATGATTAGATACGGCATGAGTAACCATTGTGGTAAGTATTCCGATTCAGGAAGTAAAAAATCTGCTGAGGTTGAACTTGCCATGATTATTGATTGAGAGAATTCGTTAAATAAATTATGATGTCTTCCTTTCTTTCAACTAGTTATCTTCATACGAGTGAGACTCTTGTCTCTCCCCCCCATATATTTATTTGCAGCTGTAAATACAAAAAAATCGCGAGATAGAGAGAAAGAGAGCGAGCGAGAGGAGACGAAGAGGAAAAAAAAAGAAGACTGCACCTATTGGCGTCAATGATGCTGAATTTTTTCTATTACTCTCATCTTTTATTCAACAATCATGACACAAGAAGTGCTTTTTTTCTTTTCTCCGACTTACATCTATGTTTATCACTGACTGAACAAGGAAGTGTAAGCTTGATCGAGTCACAATACCCATATTCCAAAGGCTAATGACACGTTTTCACGAAGCTGTCTCCTAGAACTACTATTAAGACTTCTCCTCTAAAAGGTTTCGTTCGTTCAGCGAAAAGAACATAGCAAAATAATAAATGACATTCGAAGGAGAGTTAAGAAAACACCGTTAAAGTTCGGTGATCAAATCATCAGTTGTTGTTCTCTCCTCCTACTCAGTGGTAGAAAGAGAGAGAGAGAAAAAAACCGTTCTGATTCTAGTTATTATATTTAATGAGAGTCGAATGTTTTTCATAGCAAGTCTCGACAGCGGAAGTCAACAACATTGTAAGAGAAGTTTTATATATTAAAAAGATAAACATGAAGAAAAAAAATTGTTTCTTTTCCACAAAATTTGATTTCTTCAATATAGAAAAACCAATGCTTTGAATAAGACAGTCAACCAATAGACCGGTTAAGTCGCTTGTCGTCTTCTCACACTTATTTCTTCTTCCCCTGCCAAGAAGAGAAGAAACCCAGAGCATACGAAGGACCCATTAGTCGTGACGAAATCGTCTGTATTTGAAATTCATTAGACTCAATTCAATTTCAACAATCTCGGATTGATTCACACTGACAACTGTCGTCAGAGATAGATAATCAAGACTTTGATCGCACTAGTCCTGCAGAGAATAATAATAACGAGGTTATAACATACCATTTTCGCTGTGATGCTTTCATTTATGATCAATAAGTATCATTAGAATCTATTTCTCGTATTAAAAAGTCTATTTCCGTTCACTATCGCGATCTATCATTATGCAAGGAAATTGATTCGACCATAAATGGAATCCCCCATGCGTTCCGCAGAGTAGCAACAAACTAAAACATTTTCAAAACAAGCGACACAAATGGATGTTCATTTCCTATCAAGAAAATTTCAATTCATCGAGAAGGAAGCAACACCAACGAGAACATCATCCAATGTTCTATTCACATGAAGAATGAAAGTCTACATGTACTAATTTTTGTCTCAGATTATATTTCCTTGAACTCTATGAAAAAGTATTTAGTCTACTGACGGTCGAATGAAACAACATTGAGAATACAATATTTATATTCTCAAGAGTTTTTGTGGCATTTCAACACATTTACTCATGTTTAAGAAAATATATCAAATAAGCTTCATGAATAAACAACAGAACAACATGTATCAACTCGATCTAGTTAATGAGAAAGAATTTTCAAGAGACAAAAAGTAGCGCAAAAGCACCGAGGACGACTGAGTTCTCTATATTTCATAAAAGTGGTTTTGAGTGCGACTGCAAATTATCCGGTGGCTTGAACGTCTGTCGTAGAGAATATCCTATATATATTCTCATCTGTGCCATATTATCAACTCTACAGGTAATGATTTGAAAATACACAGCATGCATTACAGTTAAAAATGTACATGTCAGATTTGTTAATATTTGATTCATACAATCATTGTGTGTTATCTTTACTATTCTTTTTTTTGCAATGGATTATGTGAATGTGCAATATCCTCTTTATATAAGTGATGACGAGTGTGATTCGAAAAGAAAAGGAATCCGTTTGGTAACGCTTCATCTTGACCTACTCTTGATTGTTGTGAACATATCAAACTTCCTGCGGTGTCCGATAGATGCCGCGCACACGAATTACTTTTCCATTGTTCGTCGTAGCAACTATATTGGTACATTTCTAAAACACTCGTTTTAACCCAATACTCTCATTCATACGTAGAAATATTCGATAAAAGAATAAACGAATCAAATTATTGTTTGACCCTTAGTTACAAAATGGAGGTCATCATAACAATGGTGGATCAATAGAAAATTACGTACACAAAGACCAAAGCTTATTTATGCTCATCCGTCCATCTATCTGAAAAGGAGAACTTTTAACATGGCTGAATTAGGAGCAGGTGTCATTATTTTAATCATTATTTGGGTTATCACCTTTGCGTTATTGACGCTATTCACATTCGTTCAATCGCCTGTCAGATTCGTTGGTCTAGCTGCATTAGTGATCGCAATCATCGTAACGCTTGTTTTAACATTGCTACCACGTGATACTGGTAGTTCAACAAAATCTGACAATGATACTCCGTATCGTTATGAATCTCTCGCTCGCATTCTGATCTTAACATTTCTTTGTGTAACATTTCTTGTTGGTGTTGTAATGATTTTTTCTTTTGAAGCTATGCGTATTGTATATGCAGAGCCAATTCGGAAGCGTTTTATTCGATGAAATCTGTTCTAACAAATAATTTTAGATCAAAATTTGTATTGCAGTACAAACGATGTCACGAGGACAAGACGAAGCGATTACAGTAATAATAGACTGATCTTGAATAATTGTAATAGTAATCGTTTTATATATTATTTAGGTATTTCTGGGAGATTTATCCCGTGATGCAACTAAAGAAGAAGTGGAGAAAGCATTTGGTCATTACGGTAAATTACGTAGTGTTTGGTAAGTCAGATTTTGGTATTTCTTTTGATTAATTCTACTGTTTGTTTGCATAGGCTTTCACGAAGTCCATGGGGTTATGGTAAATGATTCCAATGAGAATTTCTTGCAAAGAAAAATCGGTTTCTTCTAGGTTTTATTGACTTTGAAGATCAGCGTGATGCGGCCGATGCTGTAAAAGCTCTCGATGGAAAGTAAGTAACACAAAACGATACGATTATTCTACAAATCGATCATTTCTTTTTCATTTAGAATGCTGTGTGGATCACGTGTGCGTGTAGAGTTTTCTCATGGTCGTGGCCGATCACATCGTGGCGGCGGTGATAGTCGCCGACGTCGTTCGGGAAGTCGATCACCACGATCAAAGAAGCCTTATAGTCCACACGATGTTTGCTATGAATGTGGAGGTCAGTTTCAGTCGCTATCACGTTTGCGATGATCAGCTTTTCTTCTAGATCGTGGTCATTATGCATACGATTGTGAAATTCGATTAAGACGCCAGCGTCGTATGAGGTATGTTGCCGAGTGTTTGTGTTGAACCTTCCCGGTGGACTTAGATATTGTTTTCCCAAACGACCAGACGTAATACACATACAAAACCGTCTATCTGTTTTTAGTTCATTGATGAACAGAGATTAAACCGAGCGCGAGCGATTCACATATGACTAGATCGAAAAAGAATGGTATCGATACATATCTATCGATGGAAATCTTCTTTGGATTGGGAGTCAGAATGAATATCCGATATTCTCCATTCGAAACAATCGAATTCAAACAAAAGCTCTCGATTTATTCGTTCGATTTCTTTCATGCAAACTATATCAATTTCAAAGGTGTGTATGCGATGAAAAGGTGCAAATAGAATACATTAGAGCTGTTTTCCTCACAACAGAAGTTCGTCATTAGTATTGGGCCGATGAAAAATTCGATTTATTCGCGCTGATCTTCAATTATATTTGTACTTTTAGGTCGAGCTCACGAAGCCGAAGTCGAAGTACGAAACGGACAGGCAATGGTTATTCGTCCAAACGTCGTGATAGGTAAAAAAACTGATTTGGAAGGAAGGATCGACTCATGTAAATGAATGTTCATTTTTAGAAGCCGTAGTCGCTCGGAAAGTAGCCGATCATCACACGGGCGTCGTCGTTCACATAGCCGTTCACGTTCTGGATCAGATAGTCCAGTTCGCAGAAAGAAAAGTCGTTCACAAACAAAGTCCCGTTCAAAATCTCCACCTTCAAAAACAAAAAAATAATCCTGCATTTTGAAAATATTTTCTGTTCAGTTGCTTCTATTATCACATAATCAAGAAAAGACACACATAGTACACAGAAGAACATTTCGCATCTTCGCTAGAAATGTATAAACTTGATGAAATGCTTTCTGAAAAACAAAAGATAATTTCTTCGAACTTTTCTGTGCTATTCCCTTCTCGAAACCGTATTTGTGTTTTATAAACAATACACATATTCTTCAAATTTCTACTCAGTTTTTCTTCTTTTCCTTCTTCTTTTTGTTGTTGTTGTTGTTGTTGTTGTTCTTACTATTTGATTCGATTAAAGAAATACATATTGATGTCATCAAGCAAGAGCAAATGATTATTTTCACATGAAAACCTATTAATGAAGTATTAATGAGTAGAGATCGAGTGGGCTTGTACATGATTTTGAGTAACTACTTTCAAGGAGAGAAATACTTTCGTTGGCGCCGTTCTTCTCTCTAGCTCTGGTCAATAGAAGAAAAGACATAGAGGGACTTTTTTTCTCTTGCTGGTACCATTGCGCAAGAGAACAAGCGAGAAAGAGAGAAAGAGAAGATCTATTTTTCTTACACATAATCATTTTTATTCTCGGTGTGTGTATGTGCGTTTGAAAGCTAATCTGGAAGGAATGTCAACAGCGATTGTTCTACTTTGTCTTCTTCTTCCACTTGTCATTAATTTTCAAACAGTCGGTGGACAAACACATGTTCAAGGTAAACAAAAAGACTTAATATTAGCTTTTGTGTCTATGTACATCATCGTCAGTCACGGATCGAAAACTTTTTTGTCTTTTTGTGCATTTAATTTGTATTAGTATGCAGCAAGCAAATAGCACGTCGGTCATCGTGTGCATTTGATTAGGATTGTGACGGAACGTGAAAGAAAAAGCATTTATCAACACACACTTCATAATTGAGAATGAATGTGAGAAGGAATTCTTGTGCAATGTCTGTACACACACACACATATCCACTTGAATCGAGACGATAGAGATGTTAGGTATCAGGCACATGAGTCTATCGGATAAGATGTCTATTGAAATTGAATAAAAGAAAAGAGAAAAGTTTTTTAAATTCAATTAAGTAATAAAAACAAAAACGAAAGAAGAAAAATGTGTTGTAGTGGTTGATGTAAGCGAAGATCCAAACTGTGCCAAATGTGACAGTCGAGCAATATGCATTCGTCTGGACAATTCAACTGGTGTCAACTGCGTTTGTCTTCCCGGCTTTGCCTTATCGCCATCAACTGGTCGATGCGTTCTTCAAGGTAAATACATTCATCGATTACGTAAGACAAAAGAAAACTTTGCTTCTTTTTACTACAATTTATTTCATTTCCTTTCACTCACCTGTCGGGAGGAAAAAAGAGAAGCGTGAGATTGCACTGCTTCAATATCCGTTCTACTTAAGTAATGCATAAACACCCGTCTTTTTTCTCCATGTGTTATTGTAGAAATACCAGTAAATGGCATATGCGACAGTCGTTACGAATGTTTTAATGGAGGTCAGTCAACTTGTTTGATCTAGATTTCAAAAGACTTTTCCTTTCAAGGCCATTGCTCGAATGTGACGAGTAAATGTGAATGTATGTCAGGCTATGGCGGCCTGATGTGTGAATTAGATATCAATGAATGCGCTGCTAATGATCGACTTTGTGGCTCGTTTGCTTGCATAAATTTACCAGGAGATTACAAATGTGATTGTGACTTCTTTCATTCGGGAAAACAGTGTGAAAAAAGTAAGAAGACGCGATGAATTCACATTTGATTTTGACATATTACTTCGTTCGTTCAACACTAGTCAGTGCAATTGGACTGTTTGTGGTGATTGTTTCATCCATTGTTGTCCTGTTAATCCTTCTCTTTCTTATCTTATTCGCTATCCGAACATTAATCACTTATCGGGTGTCACGACGGGTTTCAAGGTAGGAATTGAAGATGGAAATTTCTCAAAAACTATCTTCATTTTCTCCGCAGAGAACAAGAACTTCAACTGCAAAATCCATGTATGGCTACATTAACGACAGGTGGGCTAATAAGAGACGATCTGACCATCAATGGTCCGTCTTTTGTTCGTCCGCTTGGTCATCGAATCTACGTTCCGATGGAAACAAGCTTTGGCAATGCAGGCCGCTTACAAGCAAATCTAAATGAAGATGAGAAAAAAGAGAGTACTCAATCCCCACCGAAATATGTCACAAATCTCGATGATTCAGTACTTAATATGTCAACGAGTTGAATATATCACCTGTGACAATGTTCGTTTATATCTCTTATTTTCTATACATGATCACAAATAAAGCTTTTATTTTCTTTGAGTCAATAAAATAATATTGAAAAGCGCGATGAAACGGACGACTAACGATAGATGTCGTGATACATTGAAACGATCTGTATGTTCATACCAAATGATTTATTTCCTCGTAGAATAAAACATGTGAATTGGCAGTTTACACTAATCATTCCAGAAAAGACAACGAATTGTAAAATCGAAGCATTTGACTGGTTTCACTGCTCGATCAATCGTGTACCGTGACACAAGTACCTTCTCCTCCTACTCTATTGAATATTTCATGACGACAACCAATTATTGAAGCGAATCTGGTCGGCGTCAGCAAGAGTAAAGTCAAGTGAAACTTCTTTCTTTTTCTCTTTTAGTCGTCGTTATATTCAAAAGTCATTTTCATTCATTAAATGTAAGAATAAAACTAACCATCATCATTAGAAACCGATTTCTCGGCCTGTTAGATTCAAACATACAATTACGTACATGCTAAGAGAAGGAACACTAGGGAGTTCTATTCTGTCAATGGATATTATTGTTAATTATCCACTCAGTTGCACGGTTATCTGTTTATTAGAATTTATAAAGATGAAATTTGATTAAAAAAAGCAAGAGACTGAGAGATAAACAAGACGAACTTATGAACATTCATTTTCTTTTATTTCAAGGAACAAATAGTCGATTTCGATATGGATGAAGTTTTACCGTCCAGGTCGAGAGATCCATAATGGTTTACCATAGAAACGATTCGTACGTGTTCGACGCGATAACCATAATGGACTTACATGAAAATTTGGATATCTATTACGTTTTATCATATAATATCCATCATCGTTGTCGTTATCGTCAGTTTGATCGTCTTCATGAAGACTTCGTTTATAAATTTTACCCGAATGTTCATTATCAATATCATTATGACGATTCTCAACCAAATGTTCGCGAAGATATGCTGGATTAATTGCGATCAACGTATGAATAAACAGAGTAATGAGTAAAGTCAATGCAAAGACTGAACGAAATATCATTGCTAGATGAGAATCGGAGAGTGACGTATGATTGTATTATATGAAGAGAATGTTTGAGAAACACCGTTTATATTTCTTCTTGAAAAAGACTTCTGAGACCGGGAAACAGAGAGAGAGAAAAAGAAAGAGAACTTAACCAATGACGAATTGATCTCTGCCTACATCTTTCATCTCCTTACATAATAACATCAGAAAATCAATTAAGAGACATCGACGCATCTCTTACTAATCACATTAGACAATGATATTTCGAGACTGAAGACCTTGTTGGTATATTTATCAGATAAAGCGACCTAATAGATACATAATGTTTGTTTAATTCGAAATAAGGTGGGCGGTGGAAAGGAGACAGAATAATCAATATCGTACGAAATTACGTTTTCAAGTATTGACAAATGCCGGACTTATTAACATCATATTTGATTAATCAGACTGTTTCACACTAAAGTCCTTATTATGACTAAGAATATCCATCTATTTCAGATACATCTAGTTCATTTGAAATGAAATATTTACTCGTTTTTCTGCTGCTGTTTGTCTACAATCAACAAAACAACTGTTTAGCCAATGAATTTCTTGGCAGTACTGGACAGCATTTATTTTATTTCGTTCATGTAATCATTGATGACTTTGATATACGATGTACATATTATTTTTGACATAGGTTACAGATATTCATATAACGCATTTCGGAAATGCTGATCGGATGGATCAATTCGAACGATTTTGCAATGAAATTATTAAATCAATGATCAAACCGCGTGTGACTGTCGTATCTGGTAAGGCGAATTATTTACCTCTATTGACCTAATTGATGAAATTTAGGTGATCTGACACACAATCGTGATCCAACATTTGCATCGGATCAATATGAAGAGGAATGGGTTATGTACAGAAATATTCTCAATCGAACCAATGTTACACAGCATACCGCTTGGCTGGATATGCGAGGCAATCATGGTAAGAAATTATTAAATGTAAAAACTCATTGAACAGTTGATCAACTTGAATAGATTGTTTTATGGATCCGAATCCTGAATCAAAAGCGAGTAACTATCGGTAAGAATTGACTTTCCATCTCCGATAAAAGAAAACTCTTCTCTCGTCAAGTATCTACTCACATCAAGGGCCGGTGCACAAAGGTTCTTACCAGTATACATTAACAACCGGTGATAATGATACTTATTCATTCGTTGGAGTCGATATGTGTCCAAGACCAGGTGCCGGCCGTCCATTTAATTTTCTTGGTCACATATCTAAAGTATCGTATGAAGTTTTCTTTCTTTTGTAAATCAATTTATTTTCTGTAGGAAGAAATGGATAATATCCGACAGCTTTCTACCCAAACGAAGAGTTCGAATACAACAATATTCTTCGGTCATTATCCCTTATCATTCACTTATTCGAACGGCTTGGATGAATTGATGGAACATGCGGTTGCCTATTTAAATGGTCATCTTCATTCTGGTATCAAGCATTTGTATGCTCGTCATTCCAATGGATTGCTTGAACTTGAACTAGGAGATTGGAAAGATAACCGACGGTTAGTTGAAAGGAATTACTGAACTTTCATTTCGTTTGTTTCCTCGAAGATTCCGTTTGATCACCCTCGATTCGGGAATCTTGTCTTTCGAAGATTTTCGTTTCGATCAGCCAATCTACGCCGTTATATCCAATCCAAAAGCTGCTAAATTCAAAACAAGCAGAGAGCCACTTTCTCGCTTGAGCGAAAGCACACATATTCGGTAAAATTCTTCTATCAGAGAAAAGCCAAAACCAAATCATTTCTCTCGATTTCAGTATTGTTATCTTCTCAAAATTTCCCATTGTCGATGTTCGAGTTTCCATTGACGGCAAATTCCTAGGCAATGCCGTCAAAGCAATCGATCATGAAAGCTTATACGTTTTAGCATGGAATGCAAGTTTATACAACGACGGTCGACTTCATGACTTGACAGTGGAAATCAAAGATAAGCAGAACAATGAGCTCAAAAGTGAAAATCAATTTTCTTTGGCAACAACAACCATAACAGCATGGACACGATCGAAACTCATACTTCTCATTCATTGGCCTACTTTTGTAAGATTGAACACATCATCGATCATTTCGAATAAAATTTCATCTTCTCTCCGTAGGGAATGATTTGCATCATCGGCGCTTTATGTGTTTATATTCTCGTATTGGTGTTTTGTCGTTACCGATCAAAACGAATGACACGTAAGTACATGTTTTCTCAGTATTCACCAACGTACTGTTTACCCTTTTGAACATAAACAGAGTTGTTTCTTCACAATGCAGTCTCGTGAGGAGAAATCAGTGACGTCAATACGAGGCTTAAACCACTGAATACTCGAAATTGTACTTAAAAAAAAAGAAGTGAAATTATTCATCAGGTAATCCGATTAGGAAGTCTGGGTTTTCTTGACAGTCGATACTATTCATGGACTAGTGATGACGATTAATGGGATACTCTAGTGTAATACAGTTAACGATGATGTTTGTAGTTTTTACATCATCGACGCGCATTAAATTGATCAGAGACGACATGCCTATAATTGTATCGAAATTCTTCTTTTAGCATGCTGTGCTGGTTGCTTCTCATTATGGAATAAATTTCGGTTAAGAATGATGATTCTTTGCTCTATCGATTTGTATTACTATTCGTTGATCGGCTTGGCCTTCTATCATTTCCTTGGTAATAACAATCTATTCTTTTCTATGCTAAAACTCGCAATATCTTAATCGCATTAGGTCCATGGTATTTTGGCTATTTAACCCATGGTTATTTTGGTGCTGTTTTCCTTTGGGGCACAGTCATACATGGTATCTATCTGCCACCGGACATGCAAACATTCATGGGAACGATTCAAGTATGCACAACAAAGCTTACGGATTTCGAGTGCTCTCTATGGACTTGTGTATTTCTAGATAGTCCTATTTCTCATTCCATTGACGTTATCTTTAAGTTCGTCGTGTTATTATCGTTATCAACAACTTCAATCCAGTGTTAATCTTGCTGAATCTCGTTGCGATCGCTCCATGCGAATCTTCACTGTTTATATATTATTTATTTATTCAATATTATTTGTTCTATTCTGGGCTTATATTACAACAGCGTCCTATAAATTAGCATTTATATTATCACCTTTTGGTTTAACGTTAGGAATCTTGTCCTTACTACTTTACATCAAATCCCAACGATTAAAACTCAGTGATTTTCGTTTTCAAACTGCTACAGATGATTTGAATAGTTCAATAGCTGAAAGTAATCTTGACGACGATGACGAACGGCCAATTGTAACAGGTAGAAGAAGTGGAGTAAAAACTAATTAATTCTTCGATTATAACGTAGAACAAAACCTCTGACGAATTGATTCGTTCAATTCCTGTTTACAAACAGACAAACTCCTGAAAACTTGTCTCTATTTTTCTATTTTTTTCTTTTGTTGACACTATTCAAGCATTGTTATTTTATGCTATTTGAATTTAATTGAAGTTTTTTTTCGAGAAATTCTAATCATGCACGTGACTTACCATTGAATAATCTTTAAAAAGCACGGCTAAACTTTTTGCTTGATGAATAAATCTTAACGATTTTTCAAGCGCATCGCTGCTTTGTTTTACTCAAAGAAAAATAAATTCTGATTATGCTTCGTACAAGAATATGTATATATTTATGAAAATATTTGAATAAATATTATCACGAAAAGAAAACATACAAGATCACTCGGTTGAGAAGAGTTTGTTGATTAAAAGTTTTCCTGTTGAGCTTGTTTGCATATATTTCTGACTTGTTTCTTTAAATCATCGTTATGATTGACTTGACAAATCTTGATGATTTTCCCCGATGATTTCATTGAGTTCACGATTATTTTCAAATAGTTCATCATCTTCTCGGAAATGTTATTTGATATGAAAATCAAATCGTATCGTTTCCAATCATTGTTGATATGAAAGGGTTTGCCTTGTAGAAACGTTTTGGCGGTAATGTTTGGATTGGCAGTTTGAGCATCATCGATAAAATAAGCAGATATCGTCGATTTCTGCGGAGACGGTTTTGATTCGAAGGCACAGAGAAGATCATCACCGAGTACAAATGGATATTGATGATACCAACTTTCAATACGATGATCTTCGTCGGCGATGACGATGAACCGTGGGTAATTTTTGCTGATCGAAAAAGTAGCTTTGACATCTGTGGCACTACGGCAACGTGTAACATGAGATTTTAATTTGATTGTCGAAGATACCGGAATACTTGACGGAGGTCGTGTACGAGTTGGTGTTGGCGTTACTATTTTACGAGGAGGAAGAGGTGGCTGTGGCGGTGGGGGAGAAGGCAATTCTGACTCTATTTGAACTACTGGTAACGGAGGCGTGGGTGTTGATGGTAAAGATCGAATAGCGTCATCCGAATGATCTGTTACTATGAGTTCGGGATGTTTGTCTTCCGATGGAAGCGCAGTGGTGTAATATAAACGAGAACGAGGTGGCGCGGTTGCAGGCGGTCTTTCTCTGGGTTTTATCAATGGAGCGCCTTTATCCGTTACTGAATGTATTGGCTTGGAACCGACCAGCAAGAGCTCGAGACTTGGACGAGGATAAGTTTCAGTGGGTCGCTTGGCAGATGCAGGACGGAAAAATGAGCCTTGAGATGCAGTTAAACTTCTTCGAGTTAATTCACGTGAGTATCCGGAAGAAAACAACGACGCCGTCGCTAGATAAAATAAATAGGTATGATCAGATCAGAATCTCCTTTTCTAAAGAATTATTAAATATGGCAAAAAACTGGTACCTGATTCTGATTTGAATGCAGCTGCTCTCTTCTCTTCCTGCTGCTGTTCTTTGTTTATTGGTTTCGCTTCTGTGCATGTATGTCCATCGCAGTGAAAAAGCGATGTGGTTGGATCAATCAGCACATCCTGTGTGGTTGCTAGACGCTTCAATTCGACTAACGACCGTCGTAGTCGATTCCATGTTTCTGTTTCCGAAGATTTATCAGAGAAGAATTGTCGTTCCTGTTTTCTTCGTTTTCTGTCGTGTACTAGTTTACGTTTTTCATGATTTTGTTTCGGAAAATCTTGATAGGGATTTTTATCAGTCGTTACTCGAGGTGGAATAATTATTGGCGTAGATTTCAATCGAACAGGCATTGAACGAGATAGACGAAAAGTTCTTGCAGCTGATAATGGTCGTTCAGGTGTAAAAATGTGTTCAGGAGTAGAACTCCGCGGATTGCCTATTGTTGAAGAGATAACTAACGATGCCGTCGGAACACGTACTTGATGTCGAACAACTCGCCTTATTGAAAATGGTAACGATTCCGATCGGTTTAATTCTTGACGGTTATCCATACCAATATTGAACATGTCAGTGACCGCATCTTTCGCTGGTATACTTGATTGCGGTCGAGATGTTGATGCTGCTGAGCGTGAAAATTGATAATGAGAGAGGATAGCTGCATCTTCGAAACGACTCATTCTTTATATCAATATCTAAAATAGAATTACAGTAAGCATGACAAGTTACATACGTTAAACAACAATGACAACAGTGACAACAACATTCGCTTTTTCGAGAGAACGAAATTATAGCTAACTATCTTCCTCACTGTCCAATTTAGCAATACATTTCCAGAGGAAGATACTGAAATGGAAAAGAACATCATGAGAAGAGAAATGTATTTCCTATGAAAGTACAACAATTTCACTTACCAACAATCATCACCTCCTAAACTGACTAGATATTGTTCGTCTGCAAGAAATCGAACATTCGTAACGTTATCGGAGTGACCTGCATAGGATTTATATTCCGCCTAAAAATTAGATTTCATTTTCATGAAGCTATTGCAGCAAAATGAATATACATACATCCGGTTCAGAACATGGAAATTTGTAGAGATTAATCTGCCCATGATCATCACCAGTGACAATAGTTGATGATGTTGCATGTGCACAATTGATATTATCTTTCTTTATATCTTTTGCCCAAATACCCATCACGTCGTCTCCAACAGTACTGAACACGAAAGTTTAAAAACCGTTGACTAACACAACGATTATGAATCTCGTTACCTTGTCCAAGTATTCCAAACGACCTTTTCAATTTCTTCGTGATTTTTCACTTCTTCGCCACTTGGTGCACGAAAGATAAGTGCCTGATAATTAGCTGTACTAGCCTTTGAAGCAAAAATCAATCGTTTGTTTTTGAATCTCATATAGAAATATTCTTACTCGTATATATTGTGAATTAGTAGACCAATCCATCTGTAAAACAGCATCTTCGATATGTGTGACATAACCAACCCGTGCTAATGTTCTTTGTTGAATATCAAAGAAATCGATACAGCAATTTTCCGATGATGCAACTAAAAGTTTCCTATTCGGACTAAATCTATCAAAAATAAACTTTTCTAGTAACATAACCAAATTCATCTTTTTGGGTTCGAGTACCTGATACAAGTAATTGCTGCATTTCGTTCTCTTGTTTTTTGAATATCTGTTAATGATCTCTTCTCCCTAGAGAATTCAACTAAACTGATCTGTCCATCTTTGAAACCAACAGCCAGCAGGGTACCGTCGCCATCGAACGATATACTTCGCACTTCTTTTCCCATATCGCGTCTTGCGACTGGGCCCTAAACATAAACAAAACAGTTAGTTCTCGGAACGAATCTATCATTGTCACTCAAGCAACATAGAAAGGAAATTTATATTCAGCGATAGTTTGACCCCTAGAAACGACTGTACTTACACCATACTTGCGTGAATCCTTGTTTAAAATTAAAATAAAGTTACATTCATCGGTGCAACAAAACGAAGGTTTAGCTAAGAAAACAAGATGATACTCACTTGAGTACTTATACTCCAGACAACTAAATTTCTATCGTAACTTCCTGTGGCAAACATTGGTTCCGTCGGATGTGGCGATAGTGCCCATAGTTGACCCTCACCATGTCCAAATACTAATGACATCGGCTGAGAGTCAGAAGCTTTCTCGTCGATTTCAACAATATCGGATGTTTTCAATCCGATTAAAAGTTTTCCCTGTAACAAAGAAGTATAAATTCATTTCAAAAATTCACTTCATCTTTCTACTTGAGAATTTCGACAAACGGATCGAACACAAACTGTATCCGATTCGGGCAAGTCAAGTTTGATTATACGTCCGTTGTCCATATTTGTATCCCAAACTTTAACTGGATTGAGTACTCGTTTTGAACCGAGTGAACGTCTACAAATATTTATAAGGATGTAAGTTCAATTTGAAAGGTACTTTACTTTTCTTTAGCACCAGTCACAATACAGCTGTCTGAACTGAACATTGAAAATATTGGTCCAGCATGGGCGTTGATCGTACGTTCCAAGGTATTTGAATGCCAAATAAAAACTAAACCAGTCATACTGCCTGTGTAAGTACGATCTTCCTAAAAAGAGAAAGTTACATGGCAATAAGACAATTTGTTGTATAAAAATGATGATTTCATACCGATCCGAATGTAATCGAAAGCATGGTTTGCATTTTTGTTGATCGTTTTCTGTCTGTTGTCTGTGTTATCACCGCCTTCTTGTTGACAAGCGTATTTCCAGCAACAGACCAAAATTTCAAATGTTTTACACCAGCAGTAACAAATTGAACCTCGGAATCCGGGCGAAATAGCGCCCGAAAGATTCGATCTTCCGAAGCTATGGTACATGCAACATTGATCCCTAGAGGTTCAAATGAAAGAGTTACACATCAACTTTGATATGTTATACACAGATACCTTCTTCCCAACGCCAGACAGCAATTGTGTACGGAGCGTCAACGCCAACTGATAATAGAAGTTTTCCACTCGAGGAAAAACTCAAAGAGCAAACACCTAAATGAAAACGTCATGTAAACTTCGGACAATGCAAACTGTATTCTTTAGCAGTTAGTCTTTTGCATCTACAGATTATTTTGTTGGAAAACATCAAGCAAAAAGAAGCAAAGATACCAACCTGATTTGCAATCGAAATACAACAATATTCCGTTCTACTGGCAACAATACAACGACAAAAGCTGACATATCGAAGCAATCTTTTGTGAACACAGTAGTCACCTCGTTTATGTTTCCCAGATAATACTGAAAGTGTTTTTCTTGTTTGCGCATCCCATATGTGAATAGTTGGATTTTCTCCAATCTGTCCCGACGCGATAATATTCTTATCTTTTCCGCCATTATATACAGCCATTGAAATAATATCATCCGTGTGTTTCGTATAGAATTTTTGCGTTCCTTGACGAATATGATGTACAACACCAGCACCTGCTGCTGGATAAACAATGGATTCGTTATCGGCTAGATAGAACAAGTTATCACGGCAATCAAATCCGCGATATCCATGAATGTGATCTAATTGTAGATCCTAAGGGAAAGATGGTAAAAATTACATTTTCTTATTATCATTTCAGGAACATACAACTATACGCCCGCGCGGCTTTTGGCTGGGATCTGATATCGCACTATTTGATGCATTTGCAGGAATTGCATTGAGAAAGCCAAGACCAATACTGGATCTGTTGAAAGGCGAGTGAAATAATAGAATTCAACGATAAAAATGGCTTACTTCAATGCGACGCGAACTAATGCCAATTCATCGGTCACTTTTCGTTGCGATGGTTTAACTTTTAGATGTCTAAGAATAAAAATAACATTGAAATTCTACAAGGATAAAAACCAACGTTTATCATACAGTGGTTTTTTATTCGTCGTTGTTGTTGGCCGGGGCGCTTCTTTCTTGTCACGTTTTGGATGAATGAGAATTCGTGCATTGTAATCCATGCTTCGATCATGTTGCACATCAGAATCATAGCCTTCTTCCTCGGAGTCCGTATTTCCGGAATCATCACTTTCACCCCGTTGATGACGAACAGGAACAGGTTTTGCCACACCAGCATTTGGACTTGCACTAACACTTCTCACTGTGGTTTTCATTTGAGAACTTGATAGAAGATCGACATCTGCGTTACGTTCATGTTTCCATACGAGAGTAGCTACGTCACGACCGCCAATCGATACCAAATAAGAATTATCGTATGTCCAACGAACACGAGTGACATGAGCACTATGCCCGGTATATCGTTTGAATTTAGCAAATTTACCCTAGATAAGAGGATATCTTTTGATAAAAGTATGCTGTTCAATCGGAAGTGTGATTACTTACTTTGACAGGAAAGTCAAATAGTTTCACCAAGCCGAAATCATCACCCGAAGCAAGAATTTTCTTATCTTTAGTTAAATCCGTAGAATTAATGTCTGTGACGTCGGTTTCCGGTGGCCAGATACCTTCACAAATTAGACCCAATACACCTGTCCACGTGAACCAATTCATTTTCTCCACATCAGTAGTTTTAATTGATGTAATCCTAGTACCACGCGGTGCTTCATAGAAGAGCTGTTCTCGTGCACCTGAATTTGTCATTATCAGCTTGCCTAAATGATCAGACATTATGTTTTCCTGTTTAGAAACTGTTTCGTTCAACTAACTATTAGCATCCCAATCAATATGAGTAATGTACGATGAATTCGCTTTACAAATGCCAACTCCTAGAAAAGATGAAAATAGTTTTCAAGATGCTCTGTCAATAATCTATACGCTTTTGTGTTTCGACGTTATAAATATCCACAAAATTATCATGTGTTCCAACAGCCAAATATCGATCATCTAGGAAAAAATCCAATCGAAACTAAATTAAGTATCCGACGATCATACATACCTGGTGAAAACTTGATATCTGATACTTCTTGATTTCTATGTTCGACTTGAACAATTGTACTCAAGTCTCCTTCATTTAGAATCATAAATTGACCTACATCAGATAATAAGAAACGAATAGTCTTCGATCATACGATTCAATCTCCCCTTCTAACCATCTTTAGTTCCGACAGCAATCGTTTTTCCATTCTGTGAATATTCACATGTGCGTATCAATTTATTAAACGTTTTAAATCGAAGCATACGTCGATCTTGCAATGACCATATTCGTACCGTTTTGTCATCACTAGCAGTACATATTTCAAGTTTACTTGGATGTGTGCTCAGCGCCCACATTTCGCCTTCCGCATGACCTGAAAACAATGAAAAGAGGAGAACTAGAACTGCATTAGCAACTGAATCAAACCTTGAACACAGATGCGGATGCGTCCATCTTTCTCTATTTCACATATTTCACCTCGGTGAGTACCAATGAAAATTCGTCGTGCTAACGTGACAGCACGAATTGATGTTTTCGATGTTTCTTCTTCAGTTAGTTGACCTGCAATAAATACGAGAATATTTTTAATTACGTCGAACACAAGTAGTCATATCAGGTGACCTCGTGAATCTGTAGCAAGGTTTTTATTTGTCAAATCATACGTTTTGATACTCTTTTTAACCTCTGGATCCCAAAGTATAACCTTTCCATCTTTTCCACCCGTAATGTAACCCTAAATATTCAATGAAATATATCGAGAGAACGAAGATATTCTCGCGTCTAACTTTGTCTTGTACAGCAGTGATAGCAAACAATGGTCCTGTATGTGCATTATCAACTTTTCTTAATAATGTAGTTTGATTCCAAATGTAAATACAGCCGTCTCCGCCACCGGTGATACAAACATCAACTGTTTTACCGAACACGACACACATCTGATTTTGCTTGCCTTGTTTACCAGAAACTTTGCCAAAAACACCTTGTTTCGATGTCATACCACCTCCAGCTTTTGTCCAAAATTTAATATGTTTAACACCAACTGTGACAAACCGATTTTCGTCGTGAGGGTTCCAACGTAAGCAAAAGATTTTATCGTTATGACCTCTAGAAGCGATATAAATTCTTCATTCCACGGTTATCTTCAATGCGCAGATTTACCTCTGTGAACCTAACTTTTCTCCTTTCTTCCAATCCCAGATAACAATAGTTCGATAGTCGTCTAAACCGACTGAAGCTAGCCATTTACCGTTATCTATAATATGATTTATTATAATCAATCATCGAAAAGTTAAGTTTTACTTGAAAATCCAACCGCAGAGATGCCGCGGAAATGTTGACCTTTCAATATAGCACGAGTTTGCAATGTTACTGGATCCCAAACATGCACCGGAGGATCACGGCCAATCTAATTCCAAACAAAAACATTCCAGAGACTCTCGATTATATCGTTGACACACTTACCTGACCGGTGGCCACCAATGACATGTCGGGCGATACTGCTAAGCATAAAATGTCATCCGTATGACAATTATAGAATCGTTGTGTATTTTGTTCAGTATTTAATACGATTCCTAATGCAGCGACATGGTATACGAGTTCGTTCGATTTCAAGCAAAAGACATTATCTCGACAATCATAGCCACGATATCTAATAACAATAGAGCATATCGGTTGTTCGGGAAAGGAGATTTAACGTTCTTCGTCTTACCCGAACACATAGTCAAGTGTGAGACCTTCATCAGGTTGTTTGTTTCTTTTTTCGCCTGGTGGCAATTTGTCTTTGATCGTTTTCTTTAATTTCTGTAACAAAATCCGATCATTGATTGTGCTCTGCCGTGAAAGCAGCCTCTTACCTGATAATCCTCTCTGTACAAGGTTCGATCATATGAGATCTGCTTTTCTTTCTCGATATCTGAATCGATCTCCGCTCCACTCAAATCGGAATCGGAATCTTCCGAGTCCGAATCGAGATAAGCTCCTACTTGTTGTGCAGTTTGTAACATTTCTACATCTTCAATCGTTCCATCCATCATTTCCGCACTTGTCATGTCATCGGCGCCCGATACGCTCAATCGTCGTGCCTCCGTCTGTACAAGAGAATCGGATTCAGACAAAAACTTCCATTGCATTATCGTACGATCATCAGTTCCAATGGTAATCAAACGACTCGTATCATGAAGAAAACGTACATTTGCTAAAAAGTAGAGTGTGATTATTTTTTGTCAAATTCTTGCTTTCGTCTGATCTTACCAATTCTGCTGGAATGTCCGACATATTTTCTGAAGTGTGCACCTCGTTTTTCACTTGGAAAACGAAACAGTTTGATTAAGCCTTGTTCATCACCAGCTGCAATCACGCCTGCTTGAATATTTCCATCAATGGTAACAATATCGGTTTTCTCCGCAAATTTGTTCCATATACCACGAACTTCTGGATGTTTCAAACTGGTAAATGTTGCCCAATTGTGGATCCTTCTGCTGTCGGCCTCCGAAACATTCTCACCAGCTAATAAAAATACATTAACAATGAGCTATTCTCAGTCTTTCGAAAGATACACACAAGGAATTTTGATCGTAAACATTTGCTTGTGCTCGCCAGTATACTGCACATATCCTTCGTCTTCACTCCAGTCGATATCTGTCACACTTAAACTATTAGCTAAATAAAACGACGAACAATAACTAAAATTGAAATTGACTCCCTTAAACATACTGTTATTTTTAAGATGTAAGTTTTTGAATTGATTCTTCACATCGTAGATGTCAAAACTTCCATCGATACAGCCAGTCGCCAAGTATTTGTCATTCGGAGAAAATGCCAAGGATTGTATACCATCCGTTCGATCGTGGATTTTCTGCTCAGGTTCAATTCGTCGTTCGTTTGATGACTTTGATCTAAAGAAGCAAACAAGACTGTGAAATCAAATGAAAATAAATCAACATACGGAGTTGGATAGATCTCGATATAGCCATTGTCGTATCCCACAGCAATTTGATTTCCATTCGATGAAAAAGCCAGCGACCGAATGAGTGGTGGTGCAGGAGATATTGAGACGAAAGGTGTCGTATAAAATGTTATCAATGACATTTGATTGGCATTCCAAAATCTACCAAAATGACGATTTAATTGTCGAGAAAACCAAATTAGCTCTATCATACGAACCTCAGTGAACAATCAGTTCCACCTGTGGCAAAAACGTTCTCTCGGGGATGACAAGCTAATGCAGATAAGTTAGCATCGTGATGGCCTTGCACAAGCAGTTCAGGATGACTATTTTCATCTAATTTAAAACCATAAATTTCACAATCGCGCGTACCCACAACACAGTAACCGTTTCGTGATGCAACACTACAGACGCTAGCGACTGAAAAGAAAAATAGAATACTTGTTTGGTTCTTGAGGAATAGTCTTAAACTTACTTTCGGAATCACTGATCAAACTTGGAATACGTACAGGTTGACCAAACGGATTGAACCCTCGCGTCCATGCTCTGACAAAGCCATCTTTTCCACTGGTTAAAAATCCATCGTTAGTTGTCTCGATTGAATAAATTGTTGACTAAGACAATTTCATCAATAGAATTTTTACACCTTATGAAGAAAACTTACGTTGTGTGCAGTTGAAATAATACGATCGATTTTCCCTTTTTTCCACACAATTAAATCTCCATTAATAGCGCCTGTAAAACATATATTCTCGTCGTCTGTTGCTCCTTTCGATTCTTCTGGTTTCCAACCGAAATGACCGATACACAACAAAGTTTGTGCTTCTGACTTTCCAAATTGTCCCTCATTGAATTGCAGCGTGTTGCCTAGTAATGTCCAAAATCGAATGTGTTTAACTCCACATGTGATAACTCGATCGCCAAAATAACAAATGTCAAAAACACGTTCCGAATGACCTGCAACCGTTGCTAAAACTTTCCCGGCGTCCCATTGCCAAATTTTGATCGTATTTTCACTGTCAATGCCTACACTGGCTAATTTCTAAGAGAAAAAAATCAATTCACTGAATGTCGAAAATCAAACAGAAAAACTCGATATTACTTTGCCATCCATACTAAAACTCATGGCACCAACTCCATCCGTATGTCCTTGTAAGAGACTTTCTAGTTTCATCACACCATCGGTATTCCAAACACAAATTCGTGCATTTTTACCGATCTGACCAGTGGCAACAATCGTTTTCTCTGGATGAAGACAAGAACTAATAATGTCATCATCATGTCCGAGAAAAAATCGCTGTCGACAGTTAGTTTTATCGCTTAAACTTTGAACAATTCCCACAGCTGCAGAAAAGTAGACTACTTCGCCATTTTGAGTCAACTGAACATTACTCCGACAATTAGCAGATCGATAGCCATAGATCCATTCGAGTCGTAGCGAACCTTTTGGCGCTGTTCGATCTCCTGGAAATTGAGATTCTTGCATTCAAAAAAAAAAACAAACTACTCCGACTCAACCAATAAGTTAACAAATTTAACCAGTGTCACTTATCACCATTAATTGTTTCATTGCTAGGATACAAATGCATGCGAGGAAAAAACAGAATAGAAAATCAGAGGGCGACACTTTTGCCTCGTTCATCAGCAAGCGACACCAATGACAATTTTCCCAAGTTACGCCGGTGAAACACAAACTGTAACTCGGTTGAATACGCATGTATGCATGTATGTCGATCTAATCAAATACAAACAACAAGACATGCATAAATTATATTTCCACACTTCTGCCTAATACGACTAGGTTGTTTGATACGCAAAAAAGCGCTTTATCTTCTTCGTTTTAATTACAATGAATGTGCACATCTACTTTGATCATTGTTAAACTATACATCAAATATAATGCGAAGGCGGTTGCTTCTTTGTTCTTCGAGTTTGTTGTCGACATAGACATATCTCTATACTAATTGATGTGTATAGAGCAACAAAAGAGAGATGGAGCATGTCATATTGATATGTATAAAATGAGTAAAGCTGACAAGACAGGCAGGAAGAGTCAAGCATATAATGTTCACTTCGCATAAGTGTCGAATCTGATTATCATCATCATCGTATCAAAAATAGACAAGGACACAAAGTCACTTCATATCTCGATCATATTGATTAGATGACTTCTGACTCGAATCACATCGCATCATATGTGCATGTAATCGGTTCGGACAGGAATGTATGTATGTATGCATGCATACATGCTTGTGTTCTAATTGGGGTTGTTGGTGTGTATCCTAATGTATTTGTCAGCATCGATTAGAACGAGAGCACGTCGTTGTCAAATGAAAGAACAAATATACAGATGGGGCGACAACAATCATTTAGCAAGATAGATATCGAACATTGTCGTCAACGTCAATGTATATACTTGCTTCTTGTCATAAAACATAGCGAGAAAGAAATATGAGTGAAATGAAGTGTCAAATGACTAGAAAACGAGAAAAATACATATCTATCAAACTGTCATAAGGTTAAACATTGTCGAGTGTGTTGCTTGAGAATCTCCGTCGGATTTGATTTGAAGAATGATTTTCTATTTAGCTAAAAGAATTAGAACAGTTTGGAATAATATTGACAGTTCGAAGATGAGAAATCAAAATTGATGTTTATTTCTTTCTTTTTCTCTTTCAGATATTTTCTATTTTTCTTCTTGTATTGAAACAAATAGATGTATATGTATATCTTTTGACTCCTTCATTTATCATTATCTCATTTACATCTCTTTTGTTCTTTTCGCTTGCTTGCTTTCTCGCTTGTCGAGATAGGTCATGTTTCGCATCATCATCATCATCGCCATCGTTCGTCGATAAATCATTCTCCCGCTGCCTGACTGCTTTCTGCTTGTCAGAATATTGTTATTACGACNTTCTTCTTGTATTGAAACAAATAGATGTATATGTATATCTTTTGACTCCTTCATTTATCATTATCTCATTTACATCTCTTTTGTTCTTTTCGCTTGCTTGCTTTCTCGCTTGTCGAGATAGGTCATGTTTCGCATCATCATCATCATCGCCATCGTTCGTCGATAAATCATTCTCCCGCTGCCTGACTGCTTTCTGCTTGTCAGAATATTGTTATTACGACATACACAGAACGATTGATGATAAATGATGAGAGCTCGGCTCGTTTGTACCAATGTGATATGAAATCTCATATGCTGTGCAATCGATCAAGATCATCATTCGTGTGGGTGAGTGACAAATGAGCGACCGATGATGATGATGATGATGATGACGACGATCAACATCATCATGATCTTGCGCACGTCGAGACGATGGCTATACAGACGTGCATGTTTTATGTCATCAGTAAGTCGACTGATCATCATCAACATCAGTCGGTCAGCGAGTAGCGATGACAAGTCGATGGCGAAGTTCGCCTCTTTTGTCACAACTGTCGCCATTCATCATTAAAATGGCGCGATTTATTATCAAAGGTCTGCGCTGTCGATGTCGAGATGTCGACAATGTAATCATTCATACAAGCACAAGAGAACAACTTCAAAACTGATATCAAATCTCATTTTGTTAACGATCTTCCACAGAGTCAGAACTAAGGATCAAAAACTAATAGATGATTATCTTCAAATTTAATTATTCAACGTAATGTTCATATTTTCTGACAGATGTCATTTAAATTACATTTTTGTTTTGATGAGCACATTTATCATCGATAGTTTTATTTAACATATTTAATAATAAGATCGATTGAAAGATAATTTTTCTCTTTTTCTTTCGAGTCCTCTTCATTACCAACCTCCTGTCAGTTCTTTCCGTCTCTTTTTTTTTTTCAATCGAGAACAACATATGTGAATAGTGATTAATGTTTATTTTGAAATCAGCAATCTATTAATCAAATATCACATCTTTTCTCTTCTCTTTCAATTCATTTCGATTTGACGTTTAATGAACTATATTTGTAAAACATACATTGACATCAATCGCGTGTAAGTATCAATGCGCCTTCGTTTATCATTTCTTCCTGTCTATCGATTTGAAACGATTGACAGTTGATCGATGCATCGACATGGATGATTGTGTGAAGGAAATAGCGAGGCGAGGGAGAGGATGCGGCACGCTACTTCGTCATCATCAGAGGAGATTAGAGAGAAAGAGAGAATAGATGGCATCTCTTTTCGCTCTTGTCATCACTCATCTTTTCTCTCTTCTCTTTTGGCTTGCTATATAATTGGCATGTGTCAAGCAACGGTGTATGTATACTTGCTTGGAGGTCCCAAGCATGATCATCATTTATCACACACACAAATCTCTTCTCT